GTTTGACCTTACTGGAGCGTCCTGGTTGATGCCTTCTTTTTAGACAATTTACGTCGGTTTCGTTAAAAGAGTGCCGATCTTTTGTGTGCAATTATATTTGACAGACATCGCCATCGTTAAAATGGACTCCGGGTAACGAGTCAAGAAAACTCACCGGACCGTTAGTTTGAATGAGTGATAGGAATGGTATCCTATTTTGAAAACGTGTGACAAAAAGAGACTGCGGGCTAGACACCTTCTAGTCTTGATGCTTTATGGAAACAAAATATGGTGGGACTCAAATTTTTATTTCGAACGGAAAGTTGGTTCGAAGGAATTCGCGAAATGGCCTCCCACGAAACATAATGGAGGGCTGCATTGACGGGAAATCTGCTGAATTTTATTCAGAAGTCTTGACCCACAGTCCTGTGACTCCGATAAATTAGGGTTGAAGTTCTATCTCTCACGCTTTTGACAGACAGTTTGAAACCTTAGTTTACAAAAAAGCTCATCAATATAGTAAATCAAGAGAATAAGTAGTCGCCTGCGAACCTACTGACTAAATATACTACTATTTGCGATATTAACGGGACATAATAGGGACCAGGACATTGGTAGATGTTTGGATATATTAATTCCAAACAATTATCTACTTATATTCCTAGTTAATTACTTTTAAAATACTGAAACTAAAAATATATTATATCACATCATGATAATATACTTACGTTACAATTCAATACAAAATTATTTCTATGAATCATCTTAACGTCAGCAATACTATTGGCAATTTTTGGTGGAAAAATGGCAATGAATTCAATTCCTTGTATTAGTTGTCTTAACTAAAATTTTGATGAAGTCATTTATAAAAGAAGATGTTGTTTGGAAAAAGGCTTAAAAAAATATGTGTCGATGAAGGTCATCATTTTTTACTGCTAAACTACACAGCTAATAATTGTTATCTAAACAGAAAGCATTATTTCATTCAGACTAAGCATTTAAAAATAATTCGACAGCTCGCACATGTTAAGATAAACCGGGAAACATGGATACTTTCATAATCCCAATAGGAATTATTTGGACAGAATTTTTCACTTTGTATAGCCATAAGCATTGGTCACAAATAATTATAAAAGAAAAAACAAAGAAAAGGAAACGCTTCCGTGCTTTGTGAATGTCTTAATTCTTGTTTCTGATCTGGCCAATTTATTAGGTTCTAATTCTCTTAACCTTGCATAATTCCCTACTCTTGATCTATCTTTTTGCAAATTGGGTCCAAATTTCCCTAGCTTCCATGCTGTCTGTCACGGAGCGATAATCGAAAGTTCAGCCTGGATTCATCGAAGTGGCAGGACGGAGAGCCGCAGACTTCTTGGCACAACATAACAACCTCTATTACATGGTACTCCTCCGTCGTTTGCCAGTGAGACCAATTCACAAATTCCCTTCATTCAACTTTGCCTCCGAAGTGAAAATTCGGTTCATACTAACTTCCTAAAGGACTCCTCGAAACTCCAGTTATTCTTCAAATAGGCACACAAGTCGTGCTGGCGTTGCTGGCTGTGGGTCTAGGACGAAACGTTAAGTCTCAATGAGACAATTGTTCAAGTGTCTGCCATTCCGGCCTAAAATGGTCCACGTGTTGAACAGAATCGAGACACTTAGTGATTGCAGTGAAGGCTGCATTGAGACTGAGATGCATGCAGACAAAGGCGGCCTGCCAAAAGGCACAACTACAAATACGAATGAAAGATGATAAAAGAGGAAAATCACCATTTTTGTACTTCAATGATGATGATCATCATCAATGTGCTGGACAAGAAAGGAAGTCTCTTCGTATGCAAAAGTGGTGGCAATTGTCATGCAAATTAAGGAAAAGTCTACAATAATCTTCGGCCACTGCAATAGAGACGCTGACTCAAGGCTTTGCTACAATTCCACTTTATTTGCCTCGAAGCAGTCGGCTTCGAATGGCGCCGTGTCGCCAGTATGCTCACGAACCGATTTCCAATCTCGCTTGAGTAGAAACTTTACTGGAAAAGGAAACCTTTTAAAGGGCAAAGCTAATGGAAATTTAGTTGCATACGGAGAACTAATCACATTAAATCACTTAATGTGATGCAAGAGTTTTTCACAATATGATGAGTAGGCTTTATGATTATTTGCAAATTTACGAATATTGTAATTAAGTACAGTTGTCGATTGCAATGGCAAATGCATGCTTGCTTAATCAACAATCCCACTAATAAAATGTAATTTTGAGGAGGCCTTGAATTTCGCATATGCCCTGCGGCTCACTGGCACCCTTGGTTGTGTGATGGAGTGGAAAGCGTCGACACGATACCGATGACCCAGGTTCGAATCTTTTTTTGGGGCGGCAATGAGACCAGTTCAGGTGAGGTCGAAACTGAAATTCAGTCCAACCTGGATGAGATAAGCTTTTGGAAGACGAAGCCAACTCATTTTATTGTAGGAAAAATTAATTTATCAGTCCAATAATCATGAATAGCTTCGAAGCCTACTTATTTCAAAATGAAACGATATCATTGTTTTTCGTTTTTAAGTAAGGTTTCTAGGCTACCG